GGTGTTTGTCTCTGAGTTGATCCAACTCTGGGTGAGACGACTGACGAGTGGTTGCGATGACATGTTTGGCGTGAGTTGTGGTCAACACCTGTCGCACTAATGAGAGTCCAATACCTCTGTTAGCGCCTGTAATTAAGACCGTCTCGAAACTCATTTCGTATTATATTTTGCAAAATAAAACAAAATATGTATCAAACAAAATAAAAAGCAAATATGTGTTTATGATTTATCAATACTGTATTTATAGAAAAAATTCTGATAAGTTTGATATATTGTGCAACAAAATCGTTAATAAAATACTAGTGATAACATACAAATATTTAAGCACGAAGAATTATAACTTTAAAAATACAGTTTTTAATCTTAGGATCTTGTATATGACCTTGTATATTTTTCTTAAAAGAGTTTAAAATCTTAAATAATGTTATACCCTTATGGCAATACAGAAAAACAGGTTGCATTTAATAAAAAATTAATTTAAAAATTGTATAAAACCATTATAATTATTAAATATAAAAACTTAATTTTTAACATACGATAACGCTATACTTAATATTGTGAAATAAATTTGATTTTTAAATATTTAAAAATACTTATAAATTTCATATTAACTTATATTCTTAACATAATTATTTTAAATGAATTCAATTTAGTATTTTAACATTTAATTAAATTTTTACAAATTTATTATATTTACATTTCACTTTCTCAAAAAAAACGCCAAACCCTTTCCCATCTACCCGTCCCTTACTTTCTGTGATCAACACTGTCTCGAAACTCATTGCTATTTTTTAAAGATAATTTTAACTAAATTTGAACTAAATGAATAAATATAACTCTATGTCTAAACCCATTAACAACTCAACTTTATTTAAAACAAATGACATGTAAATATCATAACTTATAAACAATCACCATTTATATTAGAAAACTTTCGTAAGTACTACTTGCGCTATACAAATTACTATAAAAAAATATTTATTGTAATACCATTATTTCTAAGTTTCATGTAATAATTAAGGTAATTACAACTTATAACACAGGTAATTTATTTATTTAATATTAAATATTACTTTTTATATTACATTTTTACTTTAAGTTTTGACATATATTTTTAATAAATATTTGTTATATTTATACTTTAACAATTTCTGTAATACATAATTGTAAATAAACTATAATTAATTAATTATTTAAACAAAAGCATATTTATACTATATACATAAATATAATAACTAATGTAAACTAAACTACTTAACAATAATTTTTGAATGCAGTCAATTCAATACAGTTAAATAAAGTTATAATAACATAAGGTTCATAATATAATATTTAATAAGGTATAATAGTTTCATCATAACTAATCAATTTGCCAAGGTCCTCGTCACTGGTATTCTTAATGACATTGAGAATACCCTGAACACTGGTGTTAACAGTAATGCCTGCATTAGGCCCACCCATATCTGTTTGCACGTGACCCGGATGTATGGACAGGACCCGGATGTTTTCGGGACCCAAGTCCACGGACAGGCATTTGGTAATCATATTAAGTGCCGCTTTGCTGGCACTGTACGGATAAAACATATACGCCTTCATGTTATGTATATTAGTAATAGAGCTCAATATTGTCGATATATTGGCCAGGGTAGTTTGCCGCTTAGATTGAGCTGATACCTAATAAATAAACAATTTTAATTATACTAGTAAGTAAGTTTAATATTATATTATTATTATTATATTATTAGCTTATTATTATTTTCTAAAAATATAAATATTGTTTCACATTTTGTACAATACATCAAATCACATTGATATAAATATTTAAAATTAAAATAAAATAATTCTTGTAGAATACATATTCAACATAAATCTGTTCAAGCTTAATAAATAAAAATTAAGTTTATACCAAATCTTACTTATATTATAATAATAAATATTAAAATTTAATTATGATGTTATTATAAAATAAAATAAATACTATTATATTATAATATTAAACACAAACCTTAAGCAATGGCAGCAATGCTTTGGTTAACATAAGCGGTGCCACAGAATTCACTTCAAAATTCTTTAGCATATCCTCAGCGGTCACTGAATCCAGACGTTTGTCGAGTAAAATACCCGCGTTATTGATGACAGTATCCAATCCCTGGTCACCCACTATGGCTTCGACTTGTTTAACAAACCCCGGGAAACTGTTATAATTAGTGCCCTCCAGTTGCAGGACATGGAGTCTATTCGGGTGTTTGTCTCTGAGTTGATCCAACTCTGGGTGAGACGACTGACGAGTGGTTGCGATGACATGTT